CCACCTGGCTAACCTCTCAACACCTTCATCTGGCCACCTTTGCCAATAACATTCTGAATGACTTTACATGCTGCACCAGTTGTGTGACCTATCCAATACCTTGTTAGCCCTTTGAGCCACAGACAGATTGGAGATAGAACGGTGCACAGTGCCTACATGATAAAAATCTAAAAAAAAAATATTAACCAAACAGAATACTATCTTATTCAAAATTTTAGGTCATAAGCTGGATCCAAAAACACAGACCTGGTGTTTGAAGAGATGTCAGCTAACTCCTTTGGACCAAAAAGGGATCTGATATTGGAAGTCTCTACAAATAAAGAGAAAAGTGTTAACAGACACATTATGAATGCTTCAGTCATCACAGCATCAAATCGAGCTGTTGGTTTGTTACATCCCTACCACAAATGCTAACACCGTGGTTTGGGTGCCCTGGTACAGGGGGTGAGTACACACCTATGGCAAATAGAGTGCTCCTGTGAGAAAGGGTGGCAAGACAGGGCATAGCGTACAAGGGTTGTGTTGTGGGTATGGGTGCAAGGGTGTTGTGGGGGTAGTGTGCAGTGGGTAAGGGTGGCCAGAAGAGGTAGCCCTGTGGGTAAGGGTTGATGGAGGGGGGTCAAATTCATGTGGTGTTCTGGCCACAGAGTCATGGCAGATGGGGGTGTTGTTGTGGAATTGGGTGGGAAATGGGATGGTGTTATGAGTATGGTTAGCCAATTGGAGCTGTTACACATGCAAGGTGCTCATTGGCTTGGGTAGAAAACTTGAGTTGGTTCTTCAAAAAGGGTGTGGTCATTGAGGGAATATTTCCCTCTTCCTACAGTATGTAGAATTGGAGTCATAGACAGAATAAATCTCTCCCAGCAAATAAAGAATCTTGAGCAAGATGATACATTTACCCTGATCATTTTGGAGGAGGGTCAGCTAAATAAGGACCTGATGGATGAGGGTGATGAGACAGGACATCAGAATCACCATCCCATTTCAAGGTATGGTAACCTAAAATTGAAAAAAATAATAAAAAAAAAAAAATATGCCCCCACTTTGTGTAAATGAAAACATTTCTATGTTTTTGGAAGTGATAACAAAACAGCTATGTAAAACTGTAAATACATGGCAGATAAAGATAGCATTTTGGGTAAGGCCTTTCAGCTAAGAGGATTGTTGTGTGTAAGGGTGGCAAGCCGAAAGCGGTGTTATAGGAAAGGGTGGCCACGGATTATTGTGGTGTGACAGATAAAGTTAGCAGGAAGGGAGAAAATGTGCAAAGCGTTGTTGTGGCAGATGTGCGTTGTTTTGCGAGTATGGGTGGCCAACTGGGGTTGGTGTTGTGGGTAAAGATGACATGAAGGGGGTAGTCCTGTTGGAGCAGCTGAAGGTGATGTTATAGGTAAGGATGAACAGATGGAGATGGTGGTGCTTTGGGTAAGGGTGGTCAGATGGTCAATATCTTAGGTATGAACAGAGCCAAGGGTAAAGATGTTTGCCTTAGCTAAATTTACCTACCTAAATCTCACCAATGTAGATTCCATTTCAATGTATACATTAAAAATAAACAAATTACCTAGCAGTACTTTGTGGCCACTTATACCCACATCTATATATTATATACATGCAATATAGCTTTAATTTCCCACGTTTGGGACAAAATGGGTCTAAAATACATTTCTTATTAGCAAATTTATTTGGGGATAGTGCCCTCACCTGGCAGACATTTGTGGCCACCCTTACCCACATGTTTCAACACTCTCACCTGCCAAGGCTTTGTTACACCTACACCTGGTAAACCCTCATCTGGTAAGGTCACTCAACAATACTTTCATCTGGTGAGGCTCAGTGGTCAAGCCTTCTCATTGCTATCATCTGGCATGTCTAAAGATCATTACCACCCACACCCATCACCACTCTTTCTACAATATCCACCCCTTGACACCCTATTAACCAAGGCTTCTAGAACACCAGACAAAGCTATATGGCCAGCCATAGCCCACAGAACCATCCACATGTTTTATGGCCCTCTCAACTACCAAGGCTGTGTAACCACCTACACTTGGGCAAACCCATCAAGCACTCCCATGGTCTGCCTTGCCTTACCTTCCACATCACTCACCTGGCATGACTCAGTGGCTAGCCTTTCCTTTTACTACACCTGGAAACCCCTTTATCACCCCTGCCAATGCTCTCTTGAAGGCCTTACCTTCAACACCTCCCACACCTGGCAAGACTCTATGGACAGTCTTGCCATCCGTACCATGCTGTAAAGAGTGGTAAAGCAAAGAGTATGATATTTGCTAAAAACCATCCCTACCATGTTCTTTGGCCAGGCGTTATTTCATTAGCACCACCTGGCTAACCTTCATCTAGCCACCTTTGCCCAAAACACCACTCACATTTACACCTACACTGTAGCGTGCAGAGCAACCAAGGAAGATTTTTGCCAGAACCCCAAATTCCAACCCACAACCTGAAGGTTGCAGAATTATGACTTTACATGCTGCACCACAAACTGAGTAGTTGTCTGACCTATCCGAAACCTTGCTAGCCCCTTGAGCCACAGACAGATTGGAGACTGAACAGCGCACTATGTGCTGGATCCAAACATACAGACCTGGCATTTGAAGAGATGTCAGCTATCTCCTTTGCACCACAAAGGGATCTGGCATTGGAAGCTGCTACAAACAAGACAAAAAACTGTGTTAACAGACACATTAGGAATGCTTCAGTCGACACAGCATCAAATACGGCTGTTGGCTTGTTACATCCCTAACACATATACTAACAGCTTGATTTGGGTGGCCTGGTACAGGGGGTACATACCTATGTGGGGCAGGATGGCAAGAGGGGGCGTAACAAACATGGGTGGTGTTGTGGGAATGGGTGGCAAACAGGGGACGATGTTATGGGTAAAGTTAGCCAATCAGAGCTAGTTACACATGTAAGGTACATGTTGACTTGGGTAGCAAACTTAAGCTGGTTCTTCAAAAAGGGTGTGGTTCTTGAGAGAATATTTCCCTCTTCTTACAAGTGTTTGAAAAAGTATTCATACCCCTTGATATTTTTCACATTTTTACATGTTACAACCAAAAATGTAAATGTATCTTATTGGGATTTTATGTCATAGACTGACACAAAATGGCACATAATTGTGAAGTGGCAGGAAAATGATAAATAGTTTTAAAATTTTTTTACAAATAAATATGTGAAAAGTGTGGTATGCATTTGTATTCAAGCTCCCCAAAGTCAAAACTCTGCAAGTCTGTTTGGGTATGTCTCTACCAGCTTTTGCACATCTAGAGGGTGACATTTTTTCTCATTCTTCTTTGCAAAATAGCTTAAGTTCTGTCACATTGGATGGAGAGCGTCTGTGAACAACAATTTTCAAGTCTTGCCACAGATTCTCAATTGGATTTAGGTCTGGACTTTGACTGGATCATTCTAACACATGAATATGCTTTGATCTAAACCATTCCATTGTAGCTCTGGCTGTATGTTTAGGGTCGTTATGTTGGAACGAAGAACCTCCGCTCCAGTCTCAAGTCTTTTGCAAATTAACAGGTTTTCTTCTAAGAGTGCCCTGTATTTGGCTCCATCTATCTTCCCATCAACTCTGTGACCAGCTTCCCTGTCCCTGCTGAAGAAAAGCATCCCCACAACATGATGCTGCCACCACGTTTCATGGTGGTGATAGTGTGTTCAGGATGAATGCAAAGGAAAACAAAAAGAGGGCGCACCGGCCTAGTGCATTATCGTAAAAAATATTTAATGAAATAATAAAAAGTAGGTATCATACTCACAATAGACATTATAAAACACAGACCCATCACAATGAACAGCGGTGTTCAATCCATATAGCATCTGCATTAACAACAATGGAACCCTGGATGACCAACGCGTTTCGAGGACTCAGAGGACCTCAGAGCCAACACTCCATGAGTCTGCACCTCTCCTATAATATGCTAACTAATGCTGGTATTGAAAATAAAAGTGAGCTGTCCCTGGGAAGCCCCAGGGTGGAGACTACCATCACATGACTTGTCATCATATATCATAATAAATAAAATACATATAACATACATAAAAATGGCATATGAACAATATTAAATCCAATAGGAGTCGGATAAGCTATAAACATCAAATAGGCATACGCGGTCAACGTTCTAAAAAACCTGGATATTCGTGTACGTACATATACAAATTGGAGCAACAAAAAAAAAAGGGGGGGGGGGGGGAAAGGAGGGAATCGATAATGAATAAATAACTATAGACTTACATGTCTGTATGTACATATCATAGTAAATTGAGGATCACATAACAGGATGGTGGGATTATGGTGTAGGATCATATGGTAGGTTTATGGGTGTTTAATGAAGAGGAATTCAAATTAGGATCCTGCTATGGAAGGCTGGAATGCACGATCAAAGATGGCTGCACAAAGACTGGCATTATTAGCAACTCTAGTGCTAATTTTCTGTATCCTACTGGGTGCAATATAGCTCCTTAGATCTCTGGGTTTCCTAAATGAGATCTCTGGTTTGGGGGCAAGATCAGGAGGATTGCTACAGATGTGGAGTGAGTAAATGTGGAGCCTGTAGGTACATATGGCATAGAAAAAAAGTTGTGGTGGGTACAGATGGTTGTGCACACTGGATTAGACAATTTATTAAATGTAGCACTTTGTATGTTATTTATGTCATTATCTGCCCGTGTTGCCTTCTTTATATAGGTTGGACCACGAGACCATTGAAAGTGAGGTTCAGTGAACATAAGTGTAACATTATCAACTTTAAAGATAACAAAAATTAAAGTACCGTATTTCGCGCTCCATAAGACGCACCTAGATTTTAGAGGCGGAAAACAAGAAAAAAAAAATATTCTTAACCAATGGACTGCGGACACAGTACAGGAGATGGACCAGAGACTGCGGACACAGTACAGGAGATGGACCAGAGACTGCGGACACAGTACAGGAGATGGACCAGAGACTGTGGACACAGTACAGGAGATGGACCAGAGACTGCGGACACAGTACAGGAGATGGACCAGAGACTGCGGACACAGTACAGGAGATGGACCAGAGACTGCGGACACAGTACAGGAGATGACCAGAGACTGCGGACACAGTACAGGAGATGACCAGAGACTGCGGACACAGTACAGGAGATGGACCAGAGACTGCGGACACAGTACAGGAGATGGACCAGAGACTGCGGACACAGTACAGGAGATGACCAGAGACTGCGGACACAGTACAGGAGATGACCAGAGACTGCGGACACAGTACAGGAGATGACCAGAGACTGCGAACACAGTACAGGAGATGACCAGAGACTGCGGACACAGTACAGGGGATGACCAGAGACTGCGGATACAGTACAGGGGATGACCAGAGACTGCGGACACAGTACATGGGATGACCAGAGACTGCGGACACAGGACAGGAGATGAACCAGAGACTGCGGACACAGTACAGGAGATGACCAGACACTGCGGACACAGTACAGGAGATGACCAGAGACTGTGGACACAGTACAGGAGATGACCAGAGACTGCGGACACAGTACAGGAGATGGACCAGAGACTGCGGACACAGTACAGGAGATGACCAGTGACTGCGCACACAGTACAGGGAATGACCAGAGACTGCGCACACAGTACAGGGAATGACCAGAGACTGCGGACATAGTACAGATGACCAGAGACTGTGGACATAGTACAGGAGATGACCAGAGACTGCGGACACAGTACAGGGAATAACCAGAGACTGTGGACATAGTACAGATGACCAGAGAGACTGCGGACACAGTACAGGGAAAATACCAGGGACATAGTACAGATGACCAGAGACTGCAGACAGTACAGGGGATGACCAGAGACTGCGGACCTTTGGGGAGGGAGGGGGAGTGGGTACCTGAATTTGACAGGTACCCGCACCCACTTCCGCGGAGTTATCATTCCCTCTTCTTCCCGCGCCGGCTTCTGTGACAGCCGGGTGCCCACTACTCATGCGCGAGAAGCGCTGCGCTTTATGAATGCCCCGGCGCCTTCTGGGACCTGTCGTGTCCCAGAAGACACCGGACCATTCACAAAGCGCAGCGCTTTTCGCGCATGCACAGTGGGCACCCGGCTGTCACAGAAGCCGGAGTGGGAAGACTACAGCGCTGGAGCGAGAAACAGGTAAGGTCCTGCAGCAGAGAAGAGCTGAGCGGCCGGCCCGGTATTCTGACATGGTGGCAGCAGAAATACCGGACCGGCCACTTTATATTCGCTCCATAAGACGCACTGACATTTCCCCCCCTTTTTTGGGGGGAAAAGAGTGCGTCTTATAGAACGCAAAATACGGTAATTATTCGGTCCCACGACATTATCACACAACAATGACCCATCGGGTTTCAAAGTGGGATTGAATCAATGACTAGCCAGTCAGATGGAGGCAGAAAATTTCAGAGGCTATGTAAGAGAGAAAAACCTATTGGATTTTCATCTTGGGTTCTCTGGCTCCCAGGGGACTGAATGAGGATTTAGAGCTACATGGAATTGTCAATTGATCCTCTTTGTAGATACAAATGGGAGTCCATTACAGCTTTACCCCACCCTCTCTTTCATATATTATCCCCATCATTTCCCTGTGGTCCTATTTTTGTTCATTAATTTATTCATGTATGTATTACAAATATTAATCTTCTCTCTGCTTTACTGTAGTTTGTTTTATATATGTATATATAATTTATATATATTGTTTATATGACTGTAGAATTATCATTATTATTTTATGCTGCAATTTATACAGGTGAGCACATTTAAAGTGCCTAGTAGCACCCCTTGTGTGTTATTGCGGGCAGTGATTCATCCATGCACTTAGTTGTGATGAGGAGTCTCATGTACCCGCATTTACATCTGTATACATCTAATTTTTCCAGCTTATATGTTTCTCTAAGAACAAGTTTTTTCTACATCCCATAAAAATCCTCTCTCTCTCTCTCTCTCTCTCTCTCTCTCTATATATATATATATATATATATATATATATATACTATTTTATTACTTTTTTTGAATCAAGGCCACTCAGAGCTTTTTGCATCTTCTCCATTTTTACGCTTTTTGTGCGCATTTGTGTAGATGTGTTTACATTTATTGCGTGTATATGCATATCTGCATTTATATGCATTTTATATTAAATCTTAATTGTGATTTATTTACCTATTAGTACAACACATATACATATTTGTGCAGGAGTATACATATATTTATTTCATCATTATTCTATTATTTTTATATATACATATATTTTTATTAAATAAATTCTTTTTTTGTGTTGTGACAATGGTGTCGCTGCAATTTGCCCATCACAGATGTCAAAATTTTTTAGTAGGACACTTTTTAGATTGTTCTGTTATAGATGTGCACTCCAGTTCATTCATGGTGTGTGGGCGTATACATCGGATTGTCGGTTTCCCTCTCATTAGGGGGGCCCCCCGTTCGATGACTCACCAACAGTGCATTCTGTTTATTGTTGACTATTGTTGTATTGTTCTGTTTTTATTTATCACTATCATTTTTTGTTGCCAATTTTTGAAGGGTGCACATTGTCCCTGTGATGCATTTTGTGTTCTCTCTCCCCTCTGTTACACATCACATCGAAGCGAGTGCACAGGGTTCCGCCTCTCTTGTGGAGCCATCACATGATTGGGTTGGCCCCCATTGTTTCCAGGTGGAGCGCATCTGCATCCGCCCCCTTCGGGAGATGTATCAATCATGTGGCCCCACGGCGCCAGCCTATTGGCTGCCAGTACAGAGCACATGTTCGCTCCCCCTGCTCGAGGAAACTCGGAGTCTATTAGGCTGGGGAGCACTGACCAGCGGCTGTGCTAGTGTGCCTTTGGACCGCACACGCTGGCGTGCGTTCCAGCCTTCCATAGCAGGATCCTAATTTGAATTCCTCTTCATTAAACACCAATATTGTGTCTTCCACACCTCCTACCATGTGATCCTTCACCATAATCCCACCATCCTGTTATGTGATCCTCAATTTACTATGATACGTACATACAGACATTTAAGTCTATAGTTATATATTCATTATTGATTCCCTCCTCTCCCCCCCCCCCCCTTTTTTTTATTTTGCTCCAATTTGTATATGTGTGTACACAAATATCCAGCTTTTTTATAACGTTGACCGCGTATAGCCCTAATTGATGTTTTATAGATTATCCGACTCCTAATGGATTTATTATTGTTCATATGTCATTTTTATTTATGTTATATGTATTTCATTTATGACATATAACAAGTCATGTGATGATAGTCTCTGCCCTGGGGCTTGCCGGGGACAGCCCACTTTTATTTTCAATACCAGCATTAGTTAGCATATATAAGGATATATATATATATATTATATATATATATATATATATATATATATATATATATATACATACACACACATGCAAGGAATGCATATTCCAAGACAAGTATATTGTCACCCGAGCCTCTGCCGAGTCCATCCCCAGAGCAGGAGTACAGAATTTGCTGTGTTTGTGTTCAAGGTGAACCATGGGTAAAGGTGAACCATGGGTGCGTTTGCCCTGGCTAAATTTATTCACCCAACTTATGTAGCCTCCATTTTTATTTACAAATTATGAAAAACCCCCAAAAAAGCAGAGTTAGACTTGCTGGTAACTCAAATTCTGGGAGTCATGCAGGACAGCACAGGAGACACAGGCTTAAACCACCAGAAGCAGGAAACAAAAATCAAGGAAGTCTTTAAAATAGACAGTCTGACGTCCCTAGTTCAGTATTTCACCCAAGCATCACACTGGTAAACTCTTCAAATGACAAATACTACAAAATATCTCAAACTTTGACAGCCTATAGGGTGGAGCCCTTGCTGTCCTGCACGACTCCCAGAAACCAAGGTACTTGTAAATCAAGCTCTGGTTTTCTCCAGTCGTCTGTCCAGGACAGCACGGGAGAAGATATGCGAGAACTTGCCAGATTAGGGAGTAGCTAAGCTAAGTAGTAGATAAGTGGAGTAGCTTGACCATGCCACTGCTTGACAAATTTGTTCCCGTGGTGCCCCAACTGGGCAAACATTCAGGATATTGCAGGAACGTAAACAAATCCAATTACCTTTACCGTGTTGGTCCGTCTAACCAAACAAAGCCTCTGAAGAATATCAGGAGTGACGGGGCCTGCGAATATCAGGTAAAAAATTATGCTTCTTATATACTTTCAGGGTGTGTCGAACCGTAAAAAAAAGAAAAAAACAGGAGGGAAGATTACGCAGCTTAAAAAAGAAGGAAATCCCCAAGCCGATTTTGTTCAAATAAGCCCAAGAGTAACCTCTATTTAATAAAGAATTCAAAAATAGTAAAATTAACCTTTGGAATAGGAAGAATGGATAAGACCATAGGAATTTAAGAATGAAGTCCACATCAACCAGGCTGACTGATATCCTGCCAGGTTGAAGGTGCCAGAGATTTCTTAACGTTGTCCGTAATCAGTTCTAAATAATTTCCCATAAATGGGATGGGCATACTAATCCCAATGGATCTGCGTCCAGCATCAGAGAGAAAAACCAAATCATCTGGAGGTGAGACAATGAATCTGCCAAGTCATTAGATTTGCCAGTTTTATGCTTAGCCTTTACCTAAATAGTAAGGCGCAAGCATTTATAAATCAGATATCTCAACAAACCAATGACTGGCAGAGACTTAGAAGAGAAACAGTTGAGATTGACAGAGAGATTCAAGCTGTACAATGTTGCTTAAATATCCTTTGAAACGCCAAGGATTCCAAGGTTCTGCACACCAATGTTTATTCCAAATGGCTGCAAAACCTATGGAACCTGCCGCATTGGAGAATAGACAAAAGTCTCTATCTAACACAAAGTCCTTTTGCCAAACTGCTCTAACATGAAAATGCTCCAAGAATTGCCCCATACCAATAAATTTGTCAGCTCATCACCCGAACATGAGCTGAAGGCGATTTGAGGCCAGAAATAGCTAAGTATAGTTTCCGAGAGAAAATTCTACCAATGGGCATACTATGAGTAGCAAAAGCCAATAGACCCAGTAATGACTGCATCTCTTTAAGGGAAACTTTTTTTTCCCCTATATAGGATAATCCAAGCATTTTTAACCACCTTCCGCCCGCCATATAGTACAATGACGGGCACAAGGTGGTTCTCTCGTTCTGATAGGACATCATATGACGTCCTTCCATTTTTACTGCGCATGCGCGGCTCAGGGAGTACGCAGCGCGGCGATCGCCGGTGTGCGATGTCCCTCGAACACAGCGGATCACGGAAAGAGCTGAAGATGTCGGCTCGGTCATGTGATCAGCTGTGCCCAATCACTGCTGATCACATGTAAACACGGAAATGCCGGTTATCGGCATTTCTCTCCTCTCGAGCTGTCACGCTGACAGCTCGAGAGGAGAGGAGAGCCGGAGGGGACATGTACACTGATCATCAGGGCATTGATGATCAGTGTGCCCTGATGATCAGTGTGGCCCCAGAAGTGCCACCTGTCAGTTTCCATTAGTGCCAGCAGTCAGTGCTCATCAG